ATAAAAACTTACGGTTAAACGGGTTACAAGTAATACTTAAAAGACTGGAAATGCAGTCGAGAAAATGTGCGCGTTAATATATGGTGACATTCCTGCGGGGTGGTGGGGGGGGGTTGGTGTCGTTTTTACAGGCATTGTGAACAGCATTCCAGAATGCTTGTGGAAGCAGGTTTGGGGGTTGTTGTGTTCGCGGGATGCCGTGCATCCAGGGGCTGATTTCAGGGGCGTGTTTCCATTTTGGTTTAGCCCCGAAACCCTTTTCATACATCAGTTAACTACCAAGGGGCATATCAGCGGCAGCTCGTTTGTACAAACTACACACAGTTTCTGGTGCCAAGTGAGATCAACATAAATTGCTCTGGTTTGATTATATGCTCAGTCGAATATCCACAAGTTAAATGCACAACGATAGCCAGCTGTTGTTGTAGAGAACAGCACTACTTCTAATTCGATATGCGTACCCCAAAATTAAACTGCGTCGAGGCAACTCAACTATCCCAGTCTTGCCTGTCCTTTAATTCCTTTTAGGTCTGCGAAGAATAGACAGAGTTTCGTTGCTCCAGCAGAGTCTCTCTTGCCTACTCATAAAAAGCTAATCAAGAAGGCTTAAATGGTAAGTGGAGGGGAGCCTGGGTGCAAGCGTAAACAGTGTGGCTTACTGGTCAGAGCCACAGGGTTGGCTAAGGCGAAACCTTCTAACAGATGTGAAATCCGACTTAATGCCGTGGCAGTAGCACTGTTAGTGTCATACAGAATAAGGCAATAGGGCAAAGTCAGGGTATGAAAGACTAAACCTACCTTTACACGGCCAAGCCTGTCGACCAGGATGTTGGAGGGCTTGACGTCGCGGTGGATGACATGCAGATCCTTGTGTAAGTACTCCAGTGCAGTAACTACACAGAAGGTTATGTAGGCCAGCAGGTTTTCTGGAATGATTTCCTCCTTTTCGTACACCTTTATTAGAAAAGGGAAAATAAAGTTCATCATCATCAGTGGCCTATATATGAGAGGAAAGCGAGGCGGCAAGGGTGGGCGTTCCTTTAACGTTAGAAAACGGGAGAGGAGAGGAATGACACTTTATCCTTGTGGATTTTTCCATTAGAATGTATGTGCC